AGGTAGCTGGGAAGCGACTGCACTCTGGGTCCCAGCAGGGGGCGGTTACAATCCCTTAGGAATTGTTAGAGCAGTTGACAATATGTATTTATGAAGACAATACCAGGAAAAATGGAATCCTTAATTCTTATGAAATATAGACTTCCCCCAAAGCTGCAGTGCGTTTTAGAATCTGAATTAGGATATTTACAAGTCTTTTTTTTTTTTAAGCAAATCCCTGTGATGGGAAGGATTCCCATAAAAGAGAAAGTATGTCAGCGTGTATATATAAAACACACACCTATCAGCTACCTGAAATCTAAGGGTACCAGGAAAAAAATGTTGAATTCGCGGTAAATTGGTTCATCCAAGTTCACAGTTTACTTTCACAGCATAGGTGTGCAGACAGCGTGTTTAGACGTTTAATCCCCCATCTGTTCTGTCTGGAGTATTGTTGAACAGTGAGCCACTCGGGGGCACACATCGCCCCCTTATAATTGCCTGCCTCGGCTGCGTTGTGTGGCCTGGGCGAACACCCTCAAAGAGGTATCCCTTCAACCTCCCAGTAAACCCTAATTGGTAAAAGGCTATTGGAATGAATGTGTGTGTTTTCTTAAAGTGTCCTTTAGCCAAATCAATATTTACACCGGGAATTTCCATTGATGGTATCATTTTAAAAGACCGGGTGTCTTACTTAATTTGTTTAAATCAATAGCTATTTATGCTGAGTTTTTCAACTCACCTGGTTGTTCCAGAAACGGAAGTGCCTATGTCAAATGTTGCCTAAGGCCAATCAAACGTTACCAGATTATTTCACAGTCCTGGGCACCCGCTGTCACCACCTTGAGCCTCAGGCTTTATTTTATCAGAAAGTGACGAGGCTCTGGTCCTGGGGGACAAAGGATGCCTGTGTCCCGGGTTTGCGCTGTTTGCGTGGGGCTCCCATGGGACCTCCCATCGCTTTTTGTTTGTTTGTTTGCTGTTGTTTTTTTAATATATTTTTATTGATTTCAGAGAGGAAGGAAGAGGGAGAGAAAGAGAAACATCAATGATGAGAGAGAACCGTTGATCGGCTGCCTCCTGCACGCCCCCTACTGGGGATCAGCCCACAACCCGGGCATGTGCCCTGACCGGAATTGAACCCGGGAGCCTTCAGTCGGCAGGCCGATGCTCTATCCACTGAGCCACACCGGCGAGGGCCTCCATCGTTTGTTAACATTCACATTTCTGTGTGTCCCTGACCCTCTTGTCCTTGGCGTCTGCCTGGGCGTTTGTGTTCAGTGCAGCTATAACAGTGATGGCGAACCTATGACACGCGTGTCAGAGGTGACACGCAAACTCATTTTTTTGGTTGATTTTTCTTTGTTAAATGGCATTTAAATATATAAAATAAATATCAAAAATATAAGTCTTTGTTTTACTATGGTTGCAGATATCAAAAAAATTTCTATATGTGACACGGCACCAGAGTTAAGTTAGGGTTTTTCAAAATGCTGACACGCCGAGCTCAAAAGGTTCGCCATCACTGAGCTATAACGTAAAAGTCCATCTATGTCACAGAGAGTAACAGGGACAGAAGGCAATACCCAGTGTCTGGGCCATGCTTACGGCTGGCGTGTAGCTCCATGTCAGCAACACTGACTTTATGGCAAAGAGACACTCTCTTTAGATCAGTGCTTTAAGATAAGCCTTTTAGCGGGTTATTTCCCTGGGAGCAGGTTCTGACCTGCATTTCTGCTTAAATGATGTGATACTGTGCATTGTACAGAGCCGAGGTGCACAGTACCATTGCTCCTCTGTGAGCACCCAGCACGCCCTTGGCCCTTCACGATGACCCGGAAGTGAATTAGCCTTTTTGCTTGGAAAAAAAAATCATCAGAGGTCGCCAGAAGGAATGGCAGCTCTCAGGTTAAAGAATATAAATTTTATATGTTTCTGTGATTTTGGAAAAAGAATGCTCTGAGTAAGGGAGAAAATTAATCTTCTAAAACTAATATAAAAGAAGCTGTGGATTTTAAGTTCACTGTGCAATTTCTAGAGTATTTCCAAGCATAGTGTTTTGAGAAAATTTATATTTAAGGAGTGTGAAAGGAGAGTATGTGAATACTAATAGCATGTTTTATATTATGTATCCACGGATAGAATATTGGAGTCACTTTCATTTCTCGTCTCTTGTCATCTTCCAGCTGGTTGGAGGTAGGAGTTGAACAGAAATCTTTCTTTGTAATTGACAGCAAAGACTCTTAGATCAAGAAGGCTGGCTGAGTTGTTAGGGTGGTTTCTCCTTAGCATAGCTTAAGCTTATGTGTCAGGAAGGTAATACGTCACATCAGATTTGTTCATTACAAAGTGATACCGCAGTTGTAGCATCACATCTCTCTATCCATTAGAGCACATTACGTTCAACAGCAAACCACTTAGTTGGAGAATCTGTGTTCATTTTACAAACCTAAATAAGACACATTTTATTTTATCAGATTTTTGTGCAATGCAGTTTTATTTTTTCAGATGCTTATTTCTCTTCAAAACATACCCCCTCCCCTTTTTTTCTTTTTTCTTTTTTTTTTTTTTTTTATAATGTACTCACTTTCCCTTCTGGCTGCAAACCAGGTATTTAAACAAAAATAACGGATTGCCAGTTTTGCCAGCTGGGGATGAGAACCCGGCTGGTGAAACGTGGGTTCGGGAGGCAGTTAATCCAGCTTTTATGCTTTTTATGGTTTTATGAAAAAAGAGGTTAAAAACCGCATTTGGCTCTCTCTTGCGTGTGCCACTGTTTCGCTGGTGGTACAGGAAGGCAGAGATTTTAAAAAAATTTTGTTCTTAGGTAAAATCCTGAATCTATTTGCAAAAGGCCCACAAACAATACAATACATTCTCCTAATCGGGCATGAGATAGATCCTTGAATAATTAAAAGTCACTGGTATTGAAAAATGAGCTATTACAGCATTTCCTCTAAGTTCACAAGTAGAGTTTCTCGCTTCTTTTAGATTTTTTCGTGTTTTCTTATGTTCTCACATTACTCATCTCAAGCATATAGATATTTGAAATGTTTGGGGCTAAAGATAAAAATGAGAATTTGTTTTTTCCTGAAAATTTTTGCTTAGCTTGTGATTTCCAGAAGACTTTTGGAAAATGTCAGAGCTGGACTTGCGTTCTCTGTTGCCAGTGTGGTTCTAGGCTTCTTCAGCCACAGAACAGTGATACAGTCGAATTAAAAATCTTTTCATAGCCCTTGAAAACACTACTAATTTATCTTTAAGTAACATAGTTTTTTTTTTTTCTTTAAATTATATGCTCCATCGTTAAATACCCAGTGAGCCAAAGGGCCTTAACTGTCAACATGTCACGTGGGATTCCATGAAATTATTGGTGAATTTTAAATAAAAGTCACATAGGAGTCATCCTCAGCAGTGTACTTACTTGCTTCAAACTGAGAAAGTTTAGAACATGAGCACTACTTGGTTTTGTATCGAATGCTCTTATGTAATCAGTTATAAGATTTTTTTAATTGATAGATTTCATAGGTATGGTTTTCTTGATCTGTTTATCCCAAAGCTAAGAGGATCACAACAAGTAAGCTTTAAGATTGTTCAAATATGATAATTTGAAATAAAATATTGAAAGTTGCAAATAAATGGAGAAAATTCCATTGAATAAGGAACAAATCCAATAAAAAGACATGATCACAATTTCCCTGGGATAGGCCCTAGCTGGTTTGGCTCAGTGGATAGAGCGTCCGCCTGCGGACTGAGGGTCCCTGGTTCGATTCTGGTCGAGGGCACGTGCCCAGGTTGTGGGCTCAATCCCCCGTAGGGAGCGTGCAGGAGGCAGCTGATCAATGATTCTCTCTCTTCATTGATGTTTCTATCTCTCCCTCTCCCTTCCTCTCTGAAATCAATAAAAATATATTTTTTGAAAAAAGTTTACTGGGACAAATGGCAAGTTATCATGTTCCGATGTGAACAGGTTGCTCTAACACAGCCTGATGCTTTCATATCATTTCTTACTAAATTAATTTTGCGTGTAATGTATTTTGCAAAACAAATTTAAGGCACATGCCCTGGCAGATATGGTTCAGTGGTTAGAGCATCCGCTGGCACACCCAAGGATCTCAGGTTCAATTCCAGGTCAAGGGCATGTACCTGGGTTTCGGGGTCTCTTCCTGCCCCTAGTCAGGGCGTGTGCAGGAGGCAACCAGTCGATGTGTCTCTCTCACATCGATGTTTCCCTCTCTGTCCCTTCCCCTCCTTCCCTCCCTCCCACTCTCTCTGAAAAGCAATGGAAAAAATATCCTCATGTGAGGATAAACAACAACAAAAAACACACGTTAAGGGATATATTACACAGGTATCAAGTCCCTGATTTTGTTTGTGTTTAACAGAAATTGCCATGGGAACGTAAGCTTTGGATACTAAAGTTTTTTAGCCCAAACGACAAATCTTCCGATTCTCGTTGGCGGCCACCTATTTCCCGAGTTGACACATGTCAGGGCCTCCAAAGCTGTCAGACATTTTCCTGGTGGCCCTGCCCTGCGCACTTCTCCATGACGTTGCCTGTTCTCTCCATGTTTGATCCGTGTCCCCTAGTTCTTCTCAAGCAGGAATGTGCCAGGCACGTCATGTTCCCCCTAATCAGCGTGGCTCAGCTCTAAGCTGCTACTTACAGGGCCCATTCGTGAACCAGACTGAACAGTTAAGTAGGCCTAAGAGACAATATGCAGACCTGCTAACGGTTTACCTGGTCCTCAGGCCACTCGCAGGTTCCTTCACTTGGCGTTGGTTGTGTGACATGCCTTTTCTGTCTACACTGACCATCCCTGGGTATATCTTGAACCTTTCAAAGACTTGGTGCGATTGCTGTTTTTGTAGGATGCTTCATGTTCAAACGTCAAGATCTAAAAAATTGCTGACCTAGGCTGTGAAGGTTAGGATTCATTTTCACGGGAAAATCTCACGTATAAATGGTGCCTTAGAATTGCGTGTGTGATGACGGATCTTCCCCCTGGTCTCGCTCTCAGGTGTTGGAGGACAACGACTACGGCCGGGCCGTGGACTGGTGGGGCCTGGGGGTCGTCATGTATGAGATGATGTGCGGCCGGCTGCCTTTCTACAACCAGGACCACGAGAAGCTGTTTGAACTGATCCTGATGGAAGACATCAAATTCCCTCGCACACTCTCTTCCGATGCAAAATCACTGCTTTCAGGGCTCTTGATAAAGGATCCAAATAAACGGTAGGCCACCAGCAACACCCAGCGAGTCGCTGATGAGTGTGGTTAGCGATCGTGATATGGAAATTAATGCAAATAGGACTCGCTCCAGGAAGCGATGTCTTTGGGTTAGACGTCTTCCAACGGAGACGCGGGCTTATTTTTAACTGCAGGATAGAGAACATTTAAAAACGTTTCCGCAACTTCTCCTAACTTGGAACTTTCATGCAGAGCTTACCAAGTAAGGATTTGGGGAGTTTTATTGGCCACATTATGAGCAAATGTTCTTAATGGCCCTGGTGTTGGCTGTTGTGAGAATCAGAGCATCTCTTCCTTTTAGTCTCTGGGCTTTTATATTTCTTCCGATTCACCTGGTCGGAAGCATAGACCTGTCTCTGAACTCTTCTCTCACCCAAACACACCAACTACGTCTTGCTTGTCATTTGAAGATACTCTTTTCCATGCAGGGCCAGAAGGATCGATAGCAACAACAAAATATCTTTATACACTTTGTATATCTGTTTTTGTAGCCTTAGCCGGGACCTGAAGAATCCTACCACCCTTAAGGGGCTATGGTATTCCTTGCTCATATTTATATATTCATTTAGACATGCATTTTATAGGTAATATATGAAATGACTGTTACTTTTTAATGTCCCTTAAGATGTGTGTTTGTGTATATCTGTGTATATATCCATTCTTTCATCTGATATATATATGTGTGTATATATATATATGTATATGTATATCAGTATTTTTCTGAAAATCTCTTAGATCTTCAGCATCCTGAGGTGAGCCTATTCCATACACTGTTGATTCTATTATAACACCTCACATAATGTATTTTTACAATGTTCTGTTCATGGTTGCTGCTCGATATGTATTTGTTGGTAGACTGAATTAAGGAATGAAGGAATAATGAATCCTAAAACGCGAGCTCCGTCCCCCTTAGAGATGGTTTCCATTATATGCTTTTAGCTGTTAAATTGATGAGGAACATGATTTTACCTTCCAAAAAAAAATAAAAGCAAATATAATAAAAGAGGTGCCATCTTCTTGCTTTGTGATGAGCCCATCAAACCTGCATTTCCTCACCCTGGTGACTGAGACCATCCCTCACATGTGCAGAGGGATTTTTTCAGGGCATTTGTGTCTGTTGTACCCCCGCTGTCTCAGTACCTTGCAGAGCAGGGCGGGTGGGTGTCATTCTCATTTCCCATTGGCCGAGGAGAAAGCAGAGGCTGCAGTGACGTATCCAGGTCGCACGGAGCATCCGTGCGGAAGAGGAGAAGCCACGTGTCTTGTTGCCTCCTTGATGTTTCTTCTACAGGGTGGGCAAAACTAGGTTCACAGTGTTGGTATGGAAAATAATACAATAATTAATCATACCCAAGGAGTAACTCTTGTTTCGCGTACTCAGAACTGTAAACCTACTTTCCCCACTTGGTGTATCTTATTTACCACACATCAATTTGGTTCAGGTTTTGAAATATATTCCATTTAATGTGAACATTTCACAATGTAACAGGTGGCACTTGATGCTGAGTAATCACTAAAAAGAGTTAAGATTTCCTTTTTTTTACTTGATTTGGGACCTAACATTTGGTTAGGGTCAAGGGCAGTGAGTTTGTACCCCATCCTTTCCAGCTCCTCCAGGGGACTCTGGCCCCCTCTATCCGTGGCTGGTAGAACAGAATCATGCTGTGCTTTCATGTCTATGTCTCACTCCTTTTTAATGTCATCCTCCCCCTTACCCCACCCAATGGATAGCACATAGTAGGTACTTAATAATTGTTCAATGACTATGAGGTAAATGTAGAATGATAGTGGCCCGGTAAGTAGGACAACTCTTAAAGGTTTGTGCCCCCAGAGGTTGGCATTGCCTAAAGAGAAGGTGTGTTTTCGATTATCTGCTATTTCCTTTTACAGTAGATGTATCAAGCCCTCCACGCTGCATTAAAATATTGGGAATTCAAGGATGAACGGAGTAACCTCCGCTCTGGGTGTTCACACAATAGTTGGGGCACAAAACATACATTCACAGATGCTCAGGTCACACTCCGTACAAGTTGCTTTTGAAGTGATTAGCCCTGTCTGGGGGGTTGGAAGCCTTGCGCTGGCTCAGAAGGAGTTGGGGTTGCACTGGGGTTCCTGCTGAGCAGTGCACGTGTAAAGAACAGCTGGAATTGCCAGTGACCATGGCATTTGAGAGGTTCGGTGACTACTCGCAGTGTGGAATGCGATGGGTAACATTGGGCGATGGAGCTGACATGTTAGACTGGAAATATAAGCAAGGAATACCATATCTAACATATGGAATGTGCGGATATGTTTCTTAGAAAATATTACATCTTTATTCAGAAGAGGATGAGATGCCACTGAATGATTAAAGGGCAATAACCAGATTTGTGTTATGAGAAAGTGACTCGGGCAGCTGTCCTGGATGGAGGAGAACAGTGAAGGGCCGGGGGCAGGGAGGCAGAGCGGGTGAGAGTGTACGGGGGGGTCCAGTATAGGGGGATCCTTCCTGAAGCAGTGGTCACGGGGTGATAAGAAGAACTCTGCGATGATGACAGAGAAACTCGAGGACGTGGGAGAAGTCAGGGGCCCTCGGCTCTCCAGCCTGAACAGCTGGTCTGGAGAACGGACTAGTGTTAAGAGATGATGTACAGGCAGAGAGAAAATGGATTCTCCCCAGTCCCGTATTCCTTATAGCTGATAACAACCAGAATTCACTAGGATGGCACAATTGTTTGTTATCCTCAACCTATTTGTTTTCTTCCGACCCAGTGGTGAGTGGGAGTTGGCATGTGCCAGCTCATAAGAGCGAGTTGTTAAATTTCAAGAATTTTGTGAGCTGGTTGTTCAATGCAGTATTATTAAAAGCTAAGTTCTATAGCCCAGCCAGCGTGGTTCAGTGGTTTGAGTGTCGACTTATAAACCAGGAGGTCACGTGCCCGGGTTGTAGGCTTGATCCCTGGTGTGGGGCGTGCAGGAGGCAGCTGATAGATGATTCTTTCTCATCATTGATATTTCTATCTCAATCTCTCCCTTCCTCTCTGAAATCAATAAAAAAATATTAAAAACTAAGTTATATAAATTTATAAGTTAAATTAATATTAATATCAAAGGTAATATATACTCAAAACTCATCTCTCCATAATAATTTTGTTACTTTTTACTGTTGGGAGTATTTACACCACCGGAATTGGCAAACACTCTAAGTCAGGGCTTGATTGATTGTTTTGTTGATTACTGAGACTTGAGGCTTTCTAAAATGTTTTGGCTTATAGAATTGACAATGATAATAGCTACCACTTGCTACGCTAGTTACTTACTTATTTCTAGTGCTTGTAATAAACCACTAGGCTGGGATTATTACCCCCATTCTACAGATGAGTAAACTGAGATTAAGCCAGGTTTTCATTATCACACATCCCATAAGTCCCAGATCTGGTTGCCCGGTTCAGGTGTATCACCAAAGCCCATGCTCTTTTCAGATACCATCCGGTCCTGAGGTGAGTTCCTGTTAATAGCGTATCAGGGAAATTAGATCTTACACCGGAAGATTTTTATTTTCATGGCTATTCATCACAAGAACCACTTACCACACAGAAAATTACATTTCACAAAAACTTGTGCTATGCATTGGCTTATGTAAATGTTTCATGCTCATTTAATTTTATTCCTGTCCGCACAGCCTTGGCGGAGGACCAGATGATTCAAAAGAAATTATGAGACACAGTTTCTTCTCTGGAGTAAACTGGCAAGATGTATATGATAAAAAGGTAGGTTATCTTCGTGCTGCGGTGTTTATCTATTTTGGCTAAAATGAATTGGCATCCAAAAAAAAATTTAAGTGAATAAAATGTAATAATAACATGGTATTTTTCATTTTACCCTATCATTTAATTGAATATTGAACTTCTTAGCACACAGTTTTATTGATAATTTTGACTCCCAAAACACATCTTGAAATTCTACTCAGTATCATGAAACAGTTGATTTTTTAAAAAATATATTTTATTGATTTTTTGCAGAGAGGAAGGGAGAGGGATCGAGAGTTAGAAACATCGATGAGAGAGAAACATCGATCAGCTGCCTCCTGCACACCCCCTACTGGGGATGTGCCTACAACCAAGGTACATATATTTTATTGATTTTTTGCAGAGAGGAAGGGAGAGGGATCGAGAGTTAGAAACATCGATGAGAGAGAAACATCGATCAGCTGCTGCCTCCTCACCCCCTACTGGGGATGTGCCTACAACCAAGGTACATGCCCTTGACTGGAATCGAACCTGGGACCCTTCAGTCCACAGGCCGTCGCTCTATCCACTGAGCCAAACCGGTTAGGGCGAAACAGTTGATTTTTCTTCAGCAGTTCTTAGTATATTCACAGAGTTGTGCAGCCACCACCAGTGTCAAATTCTAGAACACTTTGATCTCTTCCTTCCTTGGAGATTCAGGTTTCTTTCTGATATTATTCCCCTTTAGCCTAAAGAATGTCCATGATCATTTTTTATAGCCCAGCCGGTTGGAGGGGAACTTGTTTTCTTTTATATAATGATGTCTTTATTTTGGCTTCATTCTTCAAGGATATTATCACCTGGTACAAAATTGTGAGTTGATAGTTTAGTGAATGCATACTCAATTATTTGTTCCCTTGTAAATTATGTGTTATATTTCACTTGCTGCTTTCAAGATATTTTTGTTTGTGTAAGGGCCTTAGAATATGCCACTTTGACTAGTCTGAGCTACATTTCCCAGAATTCCCTTTAGCTAACGAGATTTCTTGTGGGAGATTCCAAAACAGAAGTGAAGCAGCAGCCCTTTTGTAGCTCCTCATGCTGTTGCTTGTCTCTCAACTCACCTCGTTGGCCTGAGAGGAGGTCAGGCCTCAGGGCTCCGTCTCCCCCGGATCCTCTCTTAGTTTTGCCCCCTCCTGGGCCAGGGTGTAAGTTCAGCTCCATGACAAAGGCCCTCATTCCAGTGGATATCCACGCCGTTCAAGTCAGAGATGATGAAAAGGCATGGGGGTTAGTCTGTCCTCGTGGACGCCAACCCTTGCCCTTTTGGGTTCCACTTTGTTCTTCTCCTGCTTTACAAACATCTTCTCTTCCCCCCGTCCTGTCCCGTGGGTGCCAGGCTCTGGCATTAAACATGAAGACGGCAGCCTTACAGAGAGTGTATGAACAGCTGCTGCAGTTGAGTAAATTCAGATCCCCATAATCCATTCACACTGACGAGTACACACACACACACACACACACACACACACACACACACACAGTACTGCTTCCTACCTACTAACAAAAGTTAAAACACATAAAGCAGAAACTAATAAAACTACAAGGAAAAATAGACAACTTAGAGTTGGACATTTCAATACCTATCTCCAAATAATTGATGAAGTAGAGAGGAAACCACTAGTTTGTAGAAGACTTCAGCAATACTATCTACCAACTTAATCTGATTGACATTTATAGAACACTACTCAACAACAGAAATATACTTATTCTTTTCAAAGTTATGCAGAACACCTAGCATGAGATACCCTATTTTGGGCTAACAACCCAAACCTTTAAAAATCATATATTTTTATTGATTTCAGAGAGGAAGGGAGAGGAAGAGAGATGGAAACATCAGTGATGAGAGAGAATCATTGATCGACTGTCTCCTGCAGGCCCCTCCCTGGGGATTGAGCCCACAAACCAGGCGTGTGCCCTGACTGGGAATCGAACCATGACCTTCCGGTTCATAGGTCAATGCTCAACCACTGAGCCATGCAGTAGGCAACCCTGTAATTTTTAAAAGATTCAAATAATTTAAGTCATGTGCTCTTTGGATGAAAGGGAATTGATTTACAAATCAAAACAGAAAGATATATGGAACATCCCCAAGTATTTGGAAACTTAATACAAGTTTAAATAATTCATGGGTCACAGAAGAAACCAAAAAGGAAATCAAAGTATTTTGAACTGACTGAAAAGGTAAATAAAACACATACAGCTCCGGGATACAGCTATTGCAGTATTTCAAGGGAAATTTATAGTTCCAAATTATCGTATTCAAAATTATCTAAGATCAATGACCTCGTCTTTCATCTTAAGAAACTAGAAAAAGAAGAAAACATTAAATCCAATGGCCAGTGTGGTAAGGTGAGAAAAAGAAATAAAATGCATACAGATAGGAGAAGGAAGAAGTAAATCTGTCTTTATTTTATGCATGGACAACATGATTATCTATTTAGAAAATCAGGTAGAATCTACAAAACAGCTACTAAAGTTCAACCCATGGGTTGCTTGATACAAGGTAAATGTACAGAAACAACTATAATTTTATACAGACAATCTAAAATGGAAATTAATAACAGTGCTGGTTAAAATAGCAACAGATATATGAAGTACTTAGGGATACTTTTGACAAAAGGTATGAGAGACCTTTAGTCTAAAAGCTAAAATATAGTGTTGAGGAACGTGAAGGCAACACAGAGCGAGGAAGAAATATGCTGTGCTCATGATTTAGAGGACGCGGTATTTTTAAGACGTTTGTTCTCTCAAAATTGGTCTATAAATTCAACACAATTCTCATCAAGATTCTACCAGGCAATTCTCCAGAAATTGTTAGGTTGACTCAAAAATTCATATGAAACGTAAAGGACCTAGAATAGCCAAAACAACTTTGACGAAAAACCAAGTTGGGGGACCGACACTACCCAACTTCAAGACTTACTATTAAGTCAAAGTAATGAAGACAGTTTGTTATGCACACGTGACATCTTTATCGCCCGTGAGGACGGGTGAAGAAGTCAGCGCAACACAAGAGAATGTCTGGAAGTAGACCCACTCGTATGTGGTTGATGGACTTTCAATAAAGGTGCAGAGATAGTTCAGTTACACAAATGGTGCTAAAACAACTGGACGTCCATATCTTTTAAAGGCAATTTGCAGCATGTACAGAATTAACTCGAAAGCGATCATAGTCTTAAACGGGAAGACTTCTAGAAGAAATTCCCTTCCCCTCTGACAGCTGTCAGTCTGTGCTGTCCGAATCTGTTCCTATTTTGTTTGTTAGTTTATTTTGTTCATCAGATTCCACATATAAGGGAAATCGTATGGTATTTGTGTTTCTTTGGCTTATTTCACTCAGCACAGTGCTCTTCAGGCCACACTTTTCAGCAGCCTCTTCTCCCCCTATTCTTGGTTTCTCATGTGTCCAGTTTCACATAATCCCTCAAATGGTCCACAGAACAACCAGCTCCCTGAGGTCTGAGTTTAGACTGTTGGCTGGACGCTGCCTCTGGTGGCTCAGCATCGAGTCCCTTGCACTCACCAGTTAGTTACCTGCTCTGCAGTTGTATCCTAAAATTAATTTCCCTACATTGAAATCTGTTCACCGGTACTTTTTCTTTCTTTGTACAGCTTGTACCTCCTTTTAAGCCTCAAGTAACATCTGAGACAGATACCAGATATTTTGATGAAGAATTTACAGCTCAGACTATTACAATAACACCACCTGAAAAATGTAAGTAAATCTTGAAGGCGATTCATAACACTCTGATATAACGGAAGAAAAAAAAGATGTTTTTCATTAGATACTAGAGGCCCGGTGCACGATATTCGTGCACTGGGGGGGGGGGTCTCTCAGCCTGGCCTGCACCCTCTCACGGTCCAGGACCCTTTGGGGGATGTCCACCTTCTGGCTTAGGCCCACTCCCCACATGGATGTAAGCCGGCACGCAGACATCCCCCGAGGGGTCCTGCTGCAGAGACGGGAGAGATTCCCACCACCACCGCTGTGCTCGCCAGCTGTGAGCCCAGCTTCTGGCTGAGCGGCGCTCCCCCTGTGGGAGTGCACTGACCATCACGGGGCAGCTCCTGCATTGAGCATCTGCCTCCTGGTGGTCAGTGCGTGTCATAGTGACCGGTCGTTCTGCCGTTCGGTCGATTTGCATATTAGCCTTTTATTATATAGGATTTTCACAATTTAATTCCAGTGACATTCCATTTAAGAATGGAGTTTGTTCCCAGTGTGGAAAAATAAAGTCAGGTAGCCGAGGGAAAAGTGTTTTCATATAGAAAAGACTACACAGGGAAAATGTAAACTGAGAATCAGAAGCTAAATTACAGACCAGTTAACCCCCCTTGCTGTTCTCCAGTAGCTTCTTCTGACATCAACTGAAAGGAATCTGACGTAGAGACTTCCCAGGCCCCCACCTGCGGTCTTCCTGCAGAATTGTCCCGATTCTGCTCTCCCACGTGCTAGTTTCAAACTTCACTTTCAGTTGAATTGTTCTGTCTTGACTTCGCTTTGTCTTAAGCAATATTGTCTGTGAAGACATAATTTAGTTTGCTCGCGATCTTTGGTGCCTAGAAGTTAAATCACACACCTGTTAAAACTGTACATCCGTGCCCCCCTTGGAGCCATCCCGGGTCCGTGAGCGTGACCCACACTTTGGTAAGTGCCTCACGTCAGTGGCTCCCATGAAAGCAGAGGTGATCACATGGAACCGACGAGCACGCTCACGCGCTGACGGCGGTCTGTGTCTGTCCTATTAGCTGAGCCTCGGGGACAGGGCCGGGGTGAGGTTCCTAAGTCCCACCGCTGTGGCTCACACAGCAACATCGTCAGTGTTCTCTCCTTTCCTTTGCCTGTGCATCCTTTGTGTGTCTCGCTTCCTCGCTTTCCTTTGGGAAAGGCAGAGCAGTTGGCAGTGCGAAGGTCCCGTGGCCACGGGAGGGAAGGTCGATGCCAAGGGCTGGGCCAGCGGTGGGCGTGGACGGTAGACGAGAGCGTTGAGGGCAGAGGCATTAGGCCGGAGCTCTGTGCCCGGGGCTGACAGCAGGAGCGGTGCACACGCCGAAATGAGCAGTGCGGTTCTGTGCTCGTGTGCTCTCTCTTTAGACTTGCAGGAAGTGACGAACCTTTTCTATTGTAAAAGGGAAGAAATTGAAACCCAGAGGAAAACTGAGCTCCCCAGAAGCCCCCAGTTCATGGGCCCCAGCAGCGTGGCTGCCGCCGGCTGAAGCTGTGGCCTCGCCTCCGCTGATGGGCTGCTTGTGGTCTCACCGTGGTCGGCAGTGGCTCGCTCTGTCTTGCATGCCATCGCCAGCACCCTAGACCCTCCCTGGTGAAGACCATCGCCAGCACCCTAGACCCTCTCCCTGGTGAAGGCAGCGTTAGGAGGCCCGAGGGGCTGTGGGCCAGCAGCTGAGGACTGTGCGTGGAAGCAGTGGGCACAGCCTTGGCATCGTTTACCGTCCCAGCAGCACCAGCGAGGTGTGGGGTTGGACCCAGAGTCCGCTCCTCCAGCGTGTGCGAGGCCTCGCCTTTGGATCCAGCCCTCGTGGTCATCAGACCACACACCCTCCATGGCTCCGGCCACTCTCACTCCAACTGCTGTCGCTGTCACACAGCCCAGTCTCATCCGTGCACCACCTCTCCCACCTCATCCTGTTCCCTCTCCCCCGGCCCTGGGTCCCCAACACCTTGAGCAAGCCACGCCTGCCCACGCCGGGATGGGCTGCTCTCCTGGGGTGCTCTCCACCCGGGGTGCTCTCCGCCTGGGGTGCTCCCTGCCTGGGGTGCTCTCTGCCTGGGGTGCTCTCTGCCTGGGGTGCTCCCTGCTCGGGGTGCTCTCTGCCTGGGGTGCTCTCCGCCTGGGGTGCTCTCCGCCTGGGGTGCTCCCTGCCTGGGGTGCTCTCTGCCTGGGGTGCTCTCTGCCTGGGGTGCTCTCTGCCTGGGGTGCTCTCTGCCTGGGGTGCTCTCTGTCTGGGGTGCTTCCTGCCTGGGGTGCTCTCACCTGGACATTTGCAGGAGCTGCTCCTGCTTGTTTGCGCTCAACCTGGCTGCCATTTCCTCAGGGAGGTTCTGCGACCTTCCAGGCTGGAGGGCAATGTGCAGCCCGCCCCCCCCCAATACCTCTCCTTCGACACCTTCCCCGTGACGGTGTCCGCTGGGGAGTCCTCTTTGGGCGCGGATGTTTCTCCATCTGGAAGCAGTGGCCTCAGGAGGAGGGTGTGGTATTCACGGCTGCCCACCCTTAGCGAGGTGCTGCCAGCACAGCATTCAGTGGCTACTAAGTGAGTGAATAACAAAGTGCAGGCGGCGGGGGAGCTTGGTGTCAGGGCGGAGCAGGCAGGTCCTCACAGAGGGTGCCATGCGTGCCCGTCGGTGCCCAGACTCTGGGTTTGCCTCCCAGGTGGCACCACAGTGGCATTGGGAGTGAGGTCCCAGCGCGGCTCGTCTCCACCTCAGCAGACGGGTTCCTTTGTTGAACGAGCTCTTGGCAGTGGGACTCTTTCTGGAACTAACTACACGTTATGCGGGAAGGGGTGGACATAGGGGGGCCCTGCAGATGCAAAGCCAGGAGTATGGCTTTCCCTTCGCAAAGTTCCAGGTGGAAGCCCAGCCCTGCAGCCGGGGACGGGGGCGCGGGGGGAGGGGAGGCGTGGAGGCGGGCTCAGACCCTGCTTGGGTCCTGGCCCGGCCACTCCCGGGGTCTGGGAGGCGGCATTGGACCCGTCACTTAGGAAAGACCCCGGAGTGCCACGCGCTTGAGTAACCCGATTGTGATTGTTCTCAGGCACCAGGTGGGCCCGTCTGTCACCCGCTCCATGGAGGGTGCCGACAGGCCCAACACAATAAACACCAGGACAAAGGGGCCGGAGCCGAGGGGCCTGGGGGAGGGACCGAGCGGATTCAGTGTGAGGAATTGTGGGACCAAAGACCACCCAGCCCTGGCCGGGAGCTCAGTGGTTAGAGCGCGTCCCACCATGCCCAGGCTTCGGGCTTGAGCCCGGTCAGGGCACCTGTCAGAACCACCAGTGAGGACATGGATGAATGTCTCTCTCTCTCTCTCTTCCTCCTTCTCTTCCTCCTCCTCCTCCTCCTCTTCTTCCTCTTCCTCCTCCTCCCCCTTCCTCTCTCTCTAAAGAAAAAGATAAAAAGGTCACAGCAGACCTGTTTGGTTACGAAGAAGTTAGATTAAAAGCTTCGTGACCGGTGCCTCCTTAGCCATCGGTCCTGTTTCAGGATTGACTCGAAGGGCACAGCCCCACCCGCCCACAGCCGCTCCCCGCCTTGTCCCTGACCCACAGCCTCCCGTGCTGGGCCTCGGGGAGAGAGTGTCGTTCATCCGCACCTTATCGCTCCCTTTGCAGAACGTCTGAAACGTAAGACGGGGTTCTAGGCCGCCCGCACAGTTTCGGGAACAGCTCCCTGGATCGGTAGCTACGAGAGAGCTGTGCTCTCTGGCTGTCACTTTTATCACTCACGCAACTCTGTTCCTGAAGCCTGTGACCCGGTGCCTTTCAGGGGTGATCGGATTGAGGCAGGGACAGATCGCACGCCCGTGCATTGTAGTCCCTTCCAAGGCGGGTATCGATCCACCTCGAGTTGTAGGCCTGGCCAGGCTGGGTCTGTGGGCGTCCGAGGTGGGTGTGGCCTCGCCCAAACACAGGAGGCCAGCGGCGTCCTCTGGACTCACCTAAGGCTCACCACTCGAGGGGGATCCCGAACTCGCTGTCGTATTTCCGACCCAGGTGGAGAGAGGAAAATCAGAGGAAACCGCTCAGCTGAGTGGGCTGAGGCCAGCGGGCTCCAGCAGCCATCCTGCATGGCTCAGCTCAGCCCCCCACCCCCCACCCCCCGCAGGAGGTCACAGGACTGCACCCCCTCCGCGGGGACTGGCCTCAGTGGTGGCGAACCGCACCCCTGGGTTCCTCCAGGGTGGGCAGTGCCCGTGGTTGATGGCCCCAGATATGTTTCCTAGTTTCCTCTGCAGACAGATCAGAGGAGAGAGAGAGTCCGAAACCCTGAGCTGCGACCACATTGGACCCAGTCCTCCTCCCTCCCCTGGGAGCAAAGGGGCCGGGAGGAGCACCAAGCCCTCCTGCCGCTAGCGCCGTCTGTCCACGGATGCCCTCGAGCGCTAGCTGGGCCTTGTCTCCCCGCTCGCCACCTTGCCTTTATAAAACAGGAGGGAGGTTTTTTTTGAGAACAAATCAGCAGTTAGAAAGGCGACATGTTCCTTTTCTGCACACAGCTGCGCGCCCACGCCGGCGCGCCCTGCCTGGTGTTCATTCAGGAGCAGGTTGGAGGGTGTCGATCCACGCGCTCCTGGTCTCTGCCCCTCGTGCGGGAGGGGGTTTCAGTGACACCCAGGAGCTCACTGCCTGTAACGGCATCTGTGAAAGGTGCTGAGGGGCCACGGTGCTGAGGGAGGCAGGGGTGCCGGCGGGTGGGGACTGAGCCTCTGGCTTGGGGTCTTTTTGGCCTCCTCCCCGTTCATTATCACCATGGCTCCCCGTGAGCTCCGTGCAGAGCGGGAGCGAATTGCCAGCCGCCGACTGGGCGTCGGGTGTGTGGCCGGCAGGTCGCCGGCACGTCCCTGTCACTTGCTTCTGGCCCCCTCCACCCCCACCCCAGCTGCCTGTGCAGCACGGGGACCAGGGACCCCCTGACCTCCAGGCCCACGGCCCTCGCTCCCCCAGGCCTGTAAGCTCAGAGGGATGACACCGGCTTTAAGGAAGATGGAGGCAAGGGGCCCTCCCGTGGTCATCCCCAAGGTTTAGGTTTCTTTACGGTCAGAAATGCGTTTAATTCGTTTGCTGGGCGGAGACACGCCCAGCAACACAAAGCTGTTCATGGGAAAACGGATTCTCTGACGTGTGATTGGCACCTGTCAGAATCGGACCGTTGGATTTCCGCTGCCTCTTCTCTGGAGAGTTTTGGACGTTGTGGCTCGACGTCAGAGAAGCCGTCCGCAGCTCCTGCGTCCGGTGGAGCTGAAAGTGCCCCGGACGGCAGTGCATGTGAAGATGCCGCGTTTGCTGGGTGCCTGGCCGGTGTTTGGAAGCCTGAGGCAGAGAGGTCCTTCAAGCACAGGGTCACCCGGAAACGCGTGGCTAAAGGGAGAGGCCCGGAGTCGGCCGCTCGCAGGGAGCAGGACCAGGGACGCTGCCTGGCGGACTGGGTCCCACCCGGGACGGTGGTGATCTCTAGAGCGGTCGAGGCCACACATGTGGGTTAGCGCCTGGATCCCGTTTCTAGATGTTCTGTGTTAAGAGTAGAAGGGCTCTAGCTGGTTTGGCTCAGTGGATAGCGCACAGGCCTGCGGACTGAAGGGTCCCGGGTTCGATTCCGGTCCAGGGCACATACCTCGGCTGCAGGCTCCAGGCCCTGGTCCAGGGCACGCCAGAGGCACCCAATTGACGTGCCTCCTCACATCGGTGTTTCTCTCTGGCTCCCCCTCTCCCTCCCCCTCTCTCTAAAAATCGGGGAAAATATCCTCAGATGAGGATTTTTAAAATAAAGAAAAGCGTAGACGGCAGAAAAGAAGAGCAGGGAACAGGAGCAGAAAGCGTCATCTTCAGAGGAAGGCGGGGCACCAGTGCCCACCGCCCGTGGAGTCTGGCCCACGTCCTCTCCCGTCCCGCGTGGGCGTGGGGGGAGGGGGAGGAGCTGGTCACGTGCTTCTGGGCATTGAAGGCAGCGGAGTGATTTTGCCTGAAGAAAAGCAGGTTGGGTATTGGAGGGATTCATCTCTTCACTGCGGGGCAGGGAGCGATCCAATGGGGGAGACTCACTGGGGGGCCTCCCCTCAGGCAGGGAGCCCGGGTGGGGCCAGCAGGGCCCCGCCCAGAGCAGCATCGCAGGGAAAGCTGTGGGTGAGGGTGTGCGTCCGGACAGCGGGGTGTCCCTCCCCAGGACTGTGATGGGGGGACGGGTGATGGTTTGAGATCATGACCGTCCTTCACACACAGGAATGGAGAGACACGCGGGAGGCGTGGCCCACAGCCAGCAGCCGCCTGGCGCCTTCCGTCTGTCCCCCGTGCACTGGTCCCCAATGCGACCTCTTTCCCTCGGTCTTTTTCTCTTCGTTCTAGTTTCCCATTCGGTCCTAGGAAAACTGGGCCTGGCGAGCTAGGGCAGGAGCAGATGTCAAATAAACACACTCTTAAGCACCTACCACGGACTCCTATGAAACGGAATCCCGACGCTGTGTTTCACAGTCACAGCTAAAGCTCGGGAGGGAGGAGCACGCGGGTCAGGATTGTCGGGAGCCCGCGCGGTGCCTGGGAGGCCCTTCTAATGTAAAACCCACGTCTCTTCGGTGGCCTCTCGGTTTATTGAGTCTCAATGTGTGTGTCCTGACGGTGATGATTTGCTAGTATTATTTCCTCATAGGTCACGTGTGTGAAAAGGAGAGGCGATTGAAATAAGTTTAGCTGCTGTGTGTTTTATGGACAAACCCAAGTGTCTAGAAGATGTTGCCTTTGTTCATCTTCATTATCTTAGAAGTTAGGACTGGCCCTGACCAGTTTGGCTCAGTGGATAGAGCGTCGGCCTGCAGACTGGAAGGTCCCAGGTTGGATTCCAGTCAAGGGCATGTACCTTGGTTGCGGGCACATCCCCAATAGGAAGTTGTGCAAGAGGCAGCTGATCGATGTTTCTCTCCCATCGATGTTTCTAACTATCCCTCTCCCTTCCTCTCTGTAAAAAATCAATAAAATATAAAATATATTTTAAAAAAAGAAGTTAGGACTGTACAGACCAGAGAGAGTGTTGCCAAAAGCAAGTGTCGCCCGGCCAGTGTGGCTCAGTGGTGGGGCGTCAACCTATGAACCAGGAGGTCACGGTTCGCTTCCCGGTCAGGGCACGTGCCCGGTTGTGGGCAGCTGATCAATGATTCTCTCTCATCATTGATGTTTCTCCCTCTCCCTTCCTCTCTGAAATCAGTAAAAATATATATTTTAAAAAAAACAAAAAACAAGCGTGAGATTGAAATGGTGTTTCTGCCCGCAGACGACGAGGATGGCATGGACAACGAGAGCCGGCCGCACTTCCCTCAGTTCTCCTACTCGGCGAGCGGCCGCGAGTAGGCCCTGTGCTGCTGCGTCGCTGTCGCCTGAGACTCACTCTGAGAACGGCTGCTGGACGTCGGACGGGCCCGGCTCCTCCTCACAGCAGGCGCCTCCAGACACCCCGACCGGCCCAGGCCTCACCCTCGCCACCTCCGCCCGCCCGCCTGAGAACACACATATACGCAAATACACTCGACTTTTTGTTTTTTTTTGCATGAAATTGTATCTCAGTCTAAGGTCTCATGCTGTTGCTGCTGCTGTCTTACTCTTATAGCAACTTTCAGAGGTAACCTTACCGCCCTGGGAAGTCATGAGGCCGCCGCCATCCATCCGCCCACCAGTTGTCATCTTCTTGTCTTTCAGTTGTGGTTCTCCCCTGACAGCGGAGGGTAAATGAGATACACCGATGCTAGGTACATTTTTTTTTTAAACTCTCTAGAAGCTAAAGCAGAAACTAATTAGCCTAAGAAGATTTAGTGTATAATTCAGAACGAGCGATTGCGGAAGGGTGGCGGTGCGCATGTGCCGCTTTCAGGAAAGCCTGATTTCAGAGCAGAGCCTAAAGTAGCCGTCGGCCGCTCAGATCAGTTAGGAAGCATTTGCAAGGACCGCACGACGGGTGAATTGTGGCCTCTCTCGGTACATGCATCTAGATTCCTGTTGGATCCCGTAGAGGAAGCCGGGGGTCCCACGTGGACGTCCAGACCTCCCAGGCAGTCCTGGCAAACGAACACGGAAGGAAGGAAGCAGATGCACAGCCGAGTCAAGGTCATCCCAAGGTCGCCGCTAGGATCGGCACCCCGAGAGCATTGCTTCCCTTGTGCTTGGAAACCGTTGTCCATGGTAATATTTCTCGCCGCTGATGGCTGAAGAATGTAGACAGGTGTAACGACCCTGCTTTTCACCAAAATGTGTGCACCCAGGTAAACGGGCGTTTGCCGCGTGTGTTTTCGTTTTCCATTTCAGTTCTGCGTGAATTAGCTTTTCCTCGGATGTTAGAACTTTGAATGTCCTGTTGTGATTTTGTTGATATTGCAGTAGTATTTATTTTTTAGTGACGAGAATTGTATGTCGTGGTAGCAAATATAAAATATATTTTAAAAAAAGAAGTTAGGACTGTACAGACCAGAGAGAGTGTTGCCAAAAGCAAGTGTCGCCCGGCCAGTGTGGCTCAGTGGTGGGGCGTCAACCTATGAACCAGGAGGTCACGGTTCGCTTCCCGGTCAGGGCACGTGCCCGGTTGTGGGCAGCTGATCAATGATTCTCTCTCATCATTGATGTTTCTCCCTCTCCCTTCCTCTCTGAAATCAGTAAAAATATATATTTTAAAAAAAACAAAAAACAAGCGTGAGATTGAAATGGTGTTTCTGCCCGCAGACGACGAGGATGGCATGGACAACGAGAGCCGGCCGCACTTCCCTCAGTTCTCCTACTCGGCGAGCGGCCGCGAGTAGGCCCTGTGCTGCTGCGTCGCTGTCGCCTGAGACTCACTCTGAGAACGGCTGCTGGACGTCGGACGGGCCCGGCTCCTCCTCACAGCAGGCGCCTCCAGACACCCCGACCGGCCCAGGCCTCACCCTCGCCACCTCCGCCCGCCCGCCTGAGAACACACATATACGCAAATACACTCGACTTTTTGTTTTTTTTTGCATGAAATTGTATCTCAGTCTAAGGTCTCATGCTGTTGCTGCTGCTGTCTTACTCTTATAGCAACTTTCAGAGGTAACCTTACCGCCCTGGGAAGTCATGAGGCCGCCGCCATCCATCCGCCCACCAGTTGTCATCTTCTTGTCTTTCAGTTGTGGTTCTCCCCTGACAGCGGAGGGTAAATGAGATACACCGATGCTAGGTACATTTTTTTTTTTAACTCTCTAGAAGCTAAAGCAGAAACTAATTAGCCTAAGAAGATTTAGTGTATAATTCAGAACGAGCGATTGCGGAAGGGTGGCGGTGCGCATGTGCCGCTTTCAGGAAAGCCTGATTTCAGAGCAGAGCCTAAAGTAGCCGTCGGCCGCTCAGATCAGTTAGGAAGCATTTGCAAGGACCGCACGACGGGTGAATTGTGGCCTCTCTCGGTACATGCATCTAGATTCCTGTTGGATCCCGTAGAGGAAGCCGGGGGTCCCACGTGGACGTCCAGACCTCCCAGGCAGTCCTGGCAAACGAACACGGAAGGAAGGAAGCAGATGCACAGCCGAGTCAAGGTCATCCCAAGGTCGCCGCTAGGATCGGCACCCCGAGAGCATTGCTTCCCTTGTGCTTGGAAACCGTTGTCCATGGTAATATTTCTCGCCGCTGATGGCTGAAGAATGTAGACAGGTGTAACGACCCTGCTTTTCACCAAAATGTGTGCACCCAGGTAAACGGGCGTTTGCCGCGTGTGTTTTCGTTTTCCATTTCAGTTCTGCGTGAATTAGCTTTTCCTCGGATGTTAGAACTTTGAATGTCCTGTTGTGATTTTGTTGATATTGCAGTAGTATTTATTTTTTAGTGACGAGAATTGTATGTCGTGGTAGCAAATGCAGCTCCAGCTGAACACAGAGTAGACGTACTGCAGTTTCTTTTGGCCCGTGTGCAAGGAACGTCCCCGCCAACAGGATTCATGCACTTTTTCTCCTTTGTGAAGCGATTTTGACGAGGCTCCGAGATGGGACTTGGTTAGAATTTGGCGCTGGGACAAGAGATGCTGTCCTCCAACCCCTTGGTGCTAAGAATGAGAACATCCCCAGCTCACCCTCGCCAAGGGGCGATGTTTGCTCATCTGAGAAGGGAGGTGTTAGGACGGCCAGGCAACCAAGGAAACGGCCCACATGGAGACCTGAGTGGCGATCAACGAACCTACTCGGCCGAATGAACACATCTCAAGTACTGGCGGAGGAGGCAGGTAGAGATGAGAGCCTAGTGTGTTTGTTCTGATCATGGTACATTGATCACTGAATTAAGCCATCAGGGAACACCACAGAACACAAAGGAACACCTCCGACCTCCCTTCTTCTGTACATACTCCTGTCCCCGCGCTCCACGGCTCCCACGGACAGGGGACGCGTATGCAAACCTCATCTTCCTCCTCCATTGACGACGATCTTCAGATTCAACCCTTTGGTGCTAGGAGCTGACATTTTCCAAAGCAGCCGATGAGACCCAGGGGCGGGGCCCCCCGGGGGGATCCTGGAGATGTCTTTCAGTTCCACTCCCTGATCGCTCCCACGGGGAAGACCACGGCGTGACGTAGGCTCGTGACCGCACTGGGGGGAGGGCAGGCGACTTGGGAGCAGGATGCCTCATACTCACACGCAGCTGTCTTAGCCGCGACGCCGGGAGAGCGGACTCGCGGACAGGAAACCACTGCTGGCGAGGGTGGGCCGCTGGGACTGCCGGGGGTTAAAGGGCATTTTCCTAAGGCAGCTAAGACCTATTTCACATCGATTTTATCCTGATTTTTCATATTCCTACCCGAGCGAGGTTCATCCTTAGTATTGAGTAGGAAGTTGCGGTCATTGGCAGTTCACTCTTCCTTACACATATCGCTCCACTTTTTTTTTTTCCACTTGGAATTACGTTGAATGTTTCACATTGACCAGAAAGTAGACTAGAAGGTATGTCTTGTAAGTTGTCTTGCATTCATTTGATAAAAAAACCAACCAACCAACCAACCAACAGGTGAGAGGAAGGGGAGAGAGCTGGGACTGGCTGCTCACGGCCTGGGCTCCCTTAGTGGGAGGTAGGACTCCACACACTAAGCACATTGGTAGCTTTCTTTTTGTTTGTTTTTTTTTTTTCTCCAAACGTGAAGGTGATTCCCATGACCTTGGCCAAGGACGCGCCCTAGAGACGCACGGCAG